GTTGTAGCTACAGTTAGAATAAGAGGTAGATGGGACTAAAGGAATATGGCAACAGCAAGTAAGAGAGGGGTGAAAGTGTATAAACTAAGGGATGAGGAAGTTAGAGTGAGATATGAGCAACTATTGGCAGAAAAGTGGGCTAGTGCAAGTATGGGTAGTGGAGGGGTTGAAGAGGGATGGGATAGTTTTAAAAATGCAGTATTAGAATGTGGGGCAGAAGTTTGTGGCTATAGGAGAGTGGGTGCAGGAGGAAAGAGGAGTGATTGGTGGAATGATGAAGTAAAGGGTATGATAAAAGAGAAAAAGGTAGCTTATGAGAGGTTTTTACAAAGCAGAAGTGATACAAGAAGGGCAGAGTATATAGAGAGCAAAAGAAAGGTGAAGAGAGTGGTGAGAGAGTGTAAAAGGAGAGCAAATGATAGAATGGGAGAGGCATTGTCAAAAAATTTTGCTGAAAATAAGAAAAAAATTTGGAGTGAGATAAGTTAAGAAAGCTACACAAATAACCCGCACATAAAATAGAGAAGCTTACGACGACTTTTCGGTCCGACTTGGACCATTTACAAAGTCACACTAACCAGAAGTGGAGCAGGACGGCTATATATAGGCAGGAAGAGGTGGTGGTGGTAGTAGTAGTAGTAGTAGTAGTACAGAATGGTATATAATACCGACAAGATGAAATTAAAACACATGCAAAACACCCGGGCATCTCTATCGTAGACGTTTTGCCATCCAGCCAGCCACTGGATGGCGAAACGTCCACAACAAAGACACCCAGACGCCGCACATGTGTCTTAATTTCATCAGTAGTAGTAGTATGTAGTAGTAGTAGTAGAAGAGGTGGTAGTAGTGGTAGTGGTAGAAGTGGGGAATATGGAGGACGAGCCAGTCAAATACAAAGGAAGGGGAGCACTGCAAGGGAGCTAGGTGCCCACAGAGGGAGAGCAAGCGCACAGAGGTGCGTGAAAGGGGAAGTGGTGAAATAAATGAAGAAGGAACAGAAACACGAGACAGAAGAGAGAGACAACCCATAGGAGAAAAAGGAAAGAGGAAAGGGGAAGAGGGAGAAGAAGAAAAAGAAAAAGAAAAAGAAAAAAGAAAAAATGAGGAGTCAGGTTAAGTCACTGGTGTTCTGAAGTTTGGAGCATTTTATGTGCGGGTTATTTGTGTATCGTTCAAGTCACGGTATTGTGCTTTTTTTGTTATTTAAGTTTAGAAAGCATATGGAACACATGGATTTGTCAGTTAAAAACAGAATAGGGGAGTTAATTGATGGGGAACTGGAGGTATTGGGTAGATGGCAGGAATATTTTGAGGAACTTTTAAATGTCAATGAAGAAAGGGAAGCAGTAATTTCATGCACTGGCCTTGGAGGTATAACATCTTTTAGGAGCGAAGAAGAGCAGGATGTGAGTGTGGGGAGGTGCGTGAGGCATTACTGAGAATGAAAGGGGGTAAAGCAGCTGGAACTGACATGATCATGACAGAAATGTTAAAAGCAGGGAGGGATATAGTGTTGGAGTGGTTGGTGTTTTTGTTTAATAAATGTATGAAAGAGGGGAAGGTACCTAGGGATTGGCATAGTTCCTTTATATAAAGGGAAGGGGGACAAAAGAGATTGTAAAAATTATAGTGGAATAAGTTTACTGAGTATACCAGGTAAAGTGTTTGGTAGGGTTATTATTGAAAGTATTAGAGGTAAGACAGTAGAATTGCAGATGAGTAAGGAGGCTTTTGAGTGGATAGGGGATGTGTAGATCAAGTGCTTACATTGAAGCATATATGCAAACAATATTTAGATAAAAGTAGGGAAGTTTTCATTGCAGTTATGGATTTAGAAAAGGCATATGATAGAGTGGATAGGGGAGCAATGTGGCAGATGTTGCAAGTGTATGGAATAGGTAGTAAGTTACTAAATGCTGTAAAGAGTTTTTATGAGGATAGTGAGGCTCAGGTTAGTGTGTGTAGGAGAAAGGGAGATTACTTCCCGGTAAAAGTGCATCTTAGACAGGGATGTGTAATGTCACCATGGTTGTTTACTTTATTTATAGATGGGGTTGTAAAAGAAGTAAATGCTAGGGTGTTGGGGAGAGGGGTGGGATTAAATTATAGGGAATCAAATATAAAATGGGAATTGACACAGTTACTTTTTGCTGATGATACTGTGCTTATGGAAGATTCTAAAGAAAAATTGCAAAGGTTAGTGGACGAGTTTGGGAGGGTGTGTAAAGGTATCAAACGATTTAAATAAAGAAAAATTGGATACCACATTGGAGAGAAGGCATATGGAAGAAGTGAATGTTTTAAGATATTGTATTTAGGAGTTCACTTGTCAGTGGATGGGTTTTTGGAGGATAAGGCTATCCAAAGTATTGATGAAGGAAAAAAGGTCAGTGGTGCGTTGAAGTACAGTGGACCCCCACATACCGTTGGCATCACATAACGATTAATCCGCATACCGCTTGCTTTAATCGCAAAAATTTTGCCTTGCATACCGCTTAAAAACCCGCTCACCGCTGTTCGTCCGAGATGCGTCCAATGTACGCCTTAGCCAGCCTCACATGTTCCGCCGGTGGCATTGTTTACCAGCCAGCCTCCGCGGTAGCATCCAAGCATACAATCGTAACATTTCGTATTATTACAGTGTTTTTGGTGATTTTATCTGGAAAATAAGTGACCATGGGCCCCAAGAAAGCTTCTAGTGCCAACCCTACAGCAATAAGGGTGAGAATTACTATAGAGATGAAGAAAAAGATCATTGATAAGTATGAAAGTGGAGTGCGTGTCTCCGAGCTGGCCAGGTTGTATAATAAACCCCAATCAACCATCGCTACTATTGGTGGTACAGCTGCTGCTGCTGCACTGTCAGCTGCTGCTGCTGCTGTAGCATCGTCTGCTGCTGCTGCTGCTGTAGCATCGTCTGCTGCTGCTGCTGCTGTAGCATCGTCTGCTGCTGCTGTAGCATCGTCTGCTGCTGCTGTAGCATCGTCTGCTGCTGCTGTAGCATCGTCTGCTGCTGCTGTAGCATCGTCTGCTGCTGCTGTAGCATCGTCTGCTGCTGCTGTAGCATCGTCTTCTGCTGCTGTAGCATCGTCTGCTGCTGCTGTAGCATCGTCTGCTGCTGCTGCTGCTGCTGCTGTAGCATCGTCTGCTGCTGCTGCTGCTGTAGCATCGTCTGCTGCTGCTGCTGCTGTAGCATCGTCTGCTGCTGCTGCTGCTGTAGCATCGTCTGCTGCTGCTGCTGCTGTAGCATCGTCTGCTGCTGCTGTAGCATCGTCTGCTGCTGCTGTAGCATCGTCTGCTGCTGCTGTAGCACTGTTGTTGGTGTGGCTTATTGAGAATATACCAAGAAACAATTAACCCCAGAGGATTTGCCACCCAGGATAACCCAAAAAAGTCAGTGTCATCGAAGACTGTCTAACTTATTTCCATTGGGGTCCTTAATCTTGTCTCCCAGGATGCAACCCACACCAGTCGACTAACACCCAGGTGAACAATGAAAAATGCCTGGAACTAGTGCTCATATTGGTGAATTTAAAGCCAGCAAAGGTTGGTTTGAGAGATTTAAGAATCGTAGTGACATACACAGTGTGATAAGGCATGTTCTGGAAGAAAATACCAAACAGGACCTACAGTACTCAGGAGGAAAAGGCACTCCCAGGACACAGTGTCTCATCAGTCATTGCTGCATCTTCAATAAAGGTAAGTGTCATTTATTCTTCATTTAGTAGACTAGTACATGCACAATATATACTGTGCATGTACTACTCTACTATTGTGCATGTATCCTTCTCTTTGTGTGTAGGAAAATGTATATTTCACGTGGTAAACATTTTTTTTTCAGACTTTTGGGTGTCTTGCACGGATTAATTTGATTTCCATTATTTCTTATGGGGAAAATTCATTCGCATACCGACTATTTCGCATACCAATGAGCCCTCTTGCACGGATTAAAATCGGTATGCGGGGGTCCACTGTATATGTGGAGACAAAACACATTATCTATGGAGGCAGTGTACTAAAGTATAGTGGTACCAACACTCTTATATGGGTGTGAAGCTTGGGTTGTAAATGTTGTAGCAAGGAGGCGGCTGGAGGCAGTGGAGATGTCATGTCTAAGGGTAATGTGTGGTGTAAATATATTATGCAGAGAATTCGGAATGTGGAAATTAGGAGGAGGTGTGGAGTTACTAAAAGTATTAGAGGGCTGAAGAGGGGTTGTTGAGGTGGTTTGGTCATTTAGAGAGGATGGAACAAAGTAGAATGACTTGGAGAGCATATAAATCTGTAGGGGAAGAAAGGCAGGGTAGGGGTCATCCTCGAAAAGGTTAGAGGGAGGGGGTAAAGGAGGTTTTATGGCCGAGGGGCTTGGACTTCCAGCAAGCATGCGTGAGCATGTTAGGAATGAATGGAGAAGAATGGTTTTTGGGACCTGACGAGCTGTTGGAGTGTAAGCAGGGTAATATTTAGTGAAAGGATTTGGGGAAACTGGTTAGCTGGACTTGAGTCCTGGAAATGGGAAGTACAAGGCCTGTGATTTAACCTGTAAATGGTCCAAACGTATGTATACATTTTTTCAGCATTTGAAAGTATGTAAAAAAAGTAGATATTCTTTTTTTATATATATATATATATATATTTGAAAACGTGTAAAAAAACCTTTGATCTACGTTTTTTTTCACATGCACTACACATGTGAACGTAGGTCTGCTTAGACCGTTTACGGGTTAAAGGAGGGGTTTGGGATATTGGCAGTTTGGAGGGATTTCCAAACTGTCGTATCTGAGCACCTCTGCAAAGACAGTGATTATGTATGAGTGATGGTGAAAGTGTTGAATGATGATGAAAGTATTTTTCTTTCTTTTTGGGTCACCCCACCTCGGTGGGAAACAGCTGATGTGTTGAAAAAAAAAAGTCTCAATACAGCATAAACTGGTTCAAGACACCTTAAGTTTGAAATAATTTGGACACTGTATAACCAGTATTTTTGTCTTATTTAGATGTGGATGGAAGTGAGTGGCGCAAAGAAAAAAATGGAGGCTAATCCAGGCTACTATAAGAGTCTTTTGGAGAATCCAGTGGATGAAGATTTAGTCGAAGCCATAAAGATTGATGTCCCTCGCACTTTTCCAGATAACATATATTTTCGTGATTACAATGAAGGAAAGCTGTCAAATCTTTACAATGTTTTAGTCGCATTTTCACAACACAACAAGAAGATTGGATATTGTCAAGTAAGTGCTCACTCTCCTTTACAGTGTCTGTGTTTTCTTCTCGAGGTGGCTTGTACTCACATATTATTGTATATACTGTATTATTTACATATTCTGCACTGTACTATTTTATACTATTCATTTCCTATGAAAATAAGTGAAACATACTGTGCTTCTATACTAGTACTATGTGTATTAACAATTGTGCGTTACAGTACCTGAAAAAGTTTGACTGTATTATTGACAGTGTTTGAATGTCAGCTAATGGCTCTTGCTTCAGCTTCCCTGGAACCCTTGCAGATTGTCTTTCTGTGAAACAATATGTCGCATCTCATTGACAAGTGTTGAAGCAATTACAGTAGGCATCATAAATATGCATGCCAGCCAACAGATCACACAGAAAATGAGACTGCTCACCATAATCCATTCTAAACAAGATACATGTATACTGAAATATGTACAGGTCTCCCTCAACATTTGCGAGGGTTAGGGGATCAAGAACCTCGTGAATGTTTGGTGCCCCAATATATTGTAGGGAAATATAATACGATACTGTTTCCTTAACCTATTGAACCATGAATAATCATAAAACACATGAAAACATCGTAAAATATTTTACTAGTGCCAGCCCTTTGGTAAAGAAGGTGAGAGAAACTAAAGAATTCAAGAAAGAACTCATAGCAGAGTACCAGAGTGGAGGAGGATGAGAGAGGGGAGAATGTGCCTTCAGTGATTCTACAATATGTATGATACTAGAGCAGCATGAGTTGATAAAGGCTATAGCGCCAGCCAGCGATGAAGTGTAGCATTAACAGTGCAGCAAGTAAGTTAAGCAATTAATCGATAGAAAAAGGACAACACGAACCTAACTCCTTCAATGTTGTTGGCGTTATACAGGGTGACTGACAACACTGCTGTCTCTAGTCTCTACTGCCTCTGATACCGCCTCTACCACCATGTACAGCTTATGTCTCGGTAGCCCTTATACACCCAACAACAACAGCACACCAACACTTGTGACATACCTAATGACATTTTATTCATTCTAGAGTGTGTGTCATGTTTCTATGTTATTAATATTTTTTATTATGAACATCAAAATGGTATACAATACTGACAGGTTGTTAGGTAAGACACATATGCAACAGTTAGGCAACTTTATTCCGAAACGTTTCACCTACACAGTAGGCTTTTTCAGTCGAATACAGAAAGTAGGCAGGAACAGTAGAGATGTGAAGACGATGTAATCAGTCCATCACCCTTGAAGTCGATGAGTTGTGATAGATAAATAAGCTGTAAAGTTGATATTAGTGTCACATTGATGGACTATCTTGTCCTATCTCCAAACAAACTTTGCCACTGCCACAATTCATAAGATATGTTATGACATATTTTAAGCATGATTGGGCAGCTGGGAATTCGTGAATGTTCGAAGTCTGTGAAACTGGAAAACGCGAACGTTGAGGGAGACCTGTATGTGTTCCTCACCTAAACTAGTATTTTGTAGGATTACCCTTCCTCTTGATGTGTTCCTTAACCCTTAAACTGTCCAAACGTAGATCTACGTTTGCACGCGTAGCGCTCCGAATGTAGATTATGTTTTTTTACATTGTTTCTTATGGAGAAAATTAAGGTCGGAGTGCTACATGTACAAACGTAGCTCTACGTTTGGACAGTTTAAGGGTTAAGGCTCCTAGGCACTGATAAGGCTAACTTATGGAGGACAGAAAAGTCAATACTTTTCCACACCTGCTTAATGGCACTCAAGATTTTTGGGTTAAAAAACACTTCCATGCCACAAAGCGTACGCTTAATAAGTTTCCAAACATTCTCGATTTTATCTAACCCCTTCACCATCCTAAGCCCCAAAATTAAAGTGCTCACGGTATCTACATTTTCAAAAAAAAAAAAAAATAAGTAAAAAATTTCTTTTGAAATAGTAGAATTTTTTTCTGAAGGTAATGACACCAAAAGTACAAAATTTGATGGAAAATTTATGGACTTACACAGGTGCAAAGTTAGCCCAATTTGAGTGCTATTTTAACCCTTAAACTGTCCAAACATAGATCTACGTTGACATGCGTAGCACTCTGACCTTTATTTTCTTCATTTGAAAGCATGTGAAATCCGACGTAGGTCTACGTTCGGAGCATTACGCACGTCAACGTAGATCTACGTTTGGACAGTTTAAGGGTTAAGCAAGTCTCATTGCTCAAATCAACCAAATTATTAGCTATTTCACTAGTATGCCTTCCTTTCTGTTAATTGAGCACAAGAAATTATTTGCCCATTCAATTATCAGAGCTACCCTATAAAATGCACAAAAGTTGGTAATTTGGCCAGTCTTGTACAAAATTCAACAGAGTTCAAATTAAACACTGCAGATATTCAGGCCACTAAAAGAACATTTCTTCTGTTCCTAGGCCTCTCCTATATCACACTTTAAATTCATCACATTTTAAATTCATCATCATCACAAAAATTTGAAAATTTACCTTATTGTGAGAATAATAGAAAATAACCAGGAATGATTAGTCATGGTTTACAGCATCCATATAATTGAATTAGGTCTAGTAAGAACCCATAAAACAAATTGAGGGTCGTAGGGGAGCCTTACCTGTCCTCAGGAAAATTGGTAAAAGTTGAATACTTATTCTATTTTGAGGTCAGTTTCAAGCTAATTCCAGTCAATTATCTAAAGATACAAAAAAAGGCAATAAAACCATAAAAACCATCATGGGAAACACCTCAAAAGTCACTATTTTAAACCATACGCAAGGCCAGAGTTTTGCTTTTCCCATCATGCACTACGTGGGGTAGGATTTTTTATACTGTACACACTCGCTACACAGACCCATTCTTTCATATCTAGACCAGAATTTAATGCTCACAGCTTATCTGAATGAGCTGAGATCAAGACAGATCTATGTGAGGGACCCTTGCATCAGTAACGCAGAGCTATGTGATGGACAGTGAAAGGGTTAAATCCAGTGAATTTTCCAGGCCATTCATAACAGTATGGAAAAATCACAGTAATTTAGCTGTTTCATTGTCTTTGACAGTATGGCAAGGGGCACCGTCTTGCATACAAAAATTACCCCAGTACTTTTTTAATCTGTCAGACAAATAGTCTGCTAAAGGTCATGCTTGTTTATCATACCTACTGTAGAGATAATTGGCTAAAATATTTGAAGTGTAACAAATTTTATCCACAAAATAGTTCATTTCAGTTTTAGAAGAACAAATTCCTTTACGGTATATCAAATGTATTAAACTGTGATAGTGGTACAGAAAAAATATAGATATGCAGGTTGTATTGCACTTGACTTTCCAATTCATTTTTGTTAATAGCACTTTCCATCAAAGACTAATTTGATAATTGCAAAATGTAGGTGGAATAAAACTTTTGCACTACAGGAAAGGAAAGATTTTTTTTTTTTGAAAGAAATGTGTGAATAATAACAAGAAAAATTTCTTCATGGGAAAATGTCACCATTTGGGTGTCTGGGAATCATTACAGTACAGCCTCTCCTCACTTAGCGACATGCTCGTTTACCGACGACTTGGACTTACAACGGGCTCTCTGATCAGTATGCATACCTAAATAATGTGTAAAGTTGATTTTCTCTACTCTTTTTAATACAGTATATAGTACACTACTGTATAAACATTTAAAAACTTACCAGAAATCTTATATATGGTGCAAAGGTGACATTAACATAGTATCAAAGATGGTTGAAACAAACCCACTACCATTATAGTATGCTCCTCACTTAGCTATATTTGTGACAATATTGTAGTTAATTACCTGTAGTGAGTATATGTATATAACTGATTTTCCAGAAGGAATAAACAACTAGAGTCAAACCCCAGAATTTGCATGCCTTGTAATCAATTTGATTTTTTTATTTTACCGCTCCAGCATTCTTTCACCAGGGTAGGGTGACCCAGAAAAAGATGAAATGCATTCATCATCATTCATTCAATAACTGTCTTGCCAGAAGTTCACAGACATCACAGTTCGAATGACCCTCTGACCAGCAACATCCACTGCATGCAGTATACATAAAAGCTAAGATAATAGTATAGCTAACCTTTGGGTATCTGAAATGATTGTGTGAGTTCAATTTGAGAGGTGACATTTCATCCTGTGTTGTACCTGTTCTTGCCTATCATTCCTTTAACTCATGTATCCAGCTTCATCCTTAATATATTACTGATTAGAATTTTGTTATTGAATTACTAAATTTTTTCAACACATCGGCTGTATCCCACCAAGGCAGGGCGACCTAAAAAGAAAAATTTTCATTTTTCTTTTTAAATTTAATAATTTATATAGAAGGGGTTACTAGTCGCTTGCTTCTGGCATTTTAGTTGCCTCTTACGACAAGCATGGCTTACAGAGGAAAAATTCTTTTTCTTTTCCACTTCCTCATGGAGATAAGAGGAAATGAAGAAGAACAAGAACTATTAAGAAAGTAGTAGAAAACCCACACGAGTGTACTCACCTAGTTGTACTCACCTAGTTGAGGTTGCGGGGGTCGAGTCCGAGCTCCTGGCCCCGCCTCTTCACTGATCGCTACTAGGTCACTCTCCCTGAGCCGTGAGCTTTATCGTACCTCTGCTTAAAGCTATGTATGGATCCTGCCTCCACTACATCGCTTCCCAAACTATTCCACTTACTGACTACTCTGTGGCTGAAGAAATACTTCCTAACATCCCTGTGATTCATCTGTGTCTTTAGCTTCCAACTGTGTCCCCTTGTTACTGTGTCCAATCTCTGGAACATCCTGTTTTTGTCCACCTTGTCAATTCCTCTCAGTATTTTGTATGTCGTTATCATGTCCCCCCTATCTCTCCTGTCCTCCAGTGTCGTCAGGTTGATTTCCCTTAACCTCTCCTCGTAGGACATACCTCTTAGCTCTGGGACTAGTCTTGTTGCAAACCTTTGCACTTTCTCTAGTTTCTTTACGTGCTTGGCTAGGTGTGGGTTCCAAACTGGTGCCGCATACTCCAATATG